TGGTGACTGGCACTTAGCCCCAACAACATACACAGATGTTAAACCCCTGTATGACATTTAGAAAAAATTTTAGGAAACAACCCCAATTTCATACAGTTCTGGCTGGCGGTTTTTAGCCATATCCTTTACTAGATATTTTTCTAGTGAAATAGCAAAAGCAGTTTTAAAAGTTTGCCATGCCATTAAATGAAGGGTTCTAAAGTCTCCCTTGTTTGTTTGTTTTTTTATGATTTTATTCTCTAATTTAAAACAATAACTACACTAAAATGCAACCTTAACAGTGAAAGCAAAATCAGTTTTGCTTCTGGATCTAGAGCATACATCCAAGAGAGGCAACTTATTGCCCTAGCAGATACATGGAATGCTTTAGAAAAGCAGAATCTGACATGCTCTAGTAAGGCATTTCAAAGCAGATACACCATACCCAAACTAAATTATTATGGTCAGCTGAGGATACCACAAGGTGAACACCAATTAACACAGAATCAACATGAAATTCTTACAAAATGACACACTGATTTACAAAACCACAGAAGGGTGCTCAAGTACCAAAGGAAGGCAAAACAATGACCAGTCACTCTAAAAGAGTTTTGTTCCCGTAAATGCCAGATTTGCAGAGTAGAAATAAATTTTATATGTGCTTTGCCCTAGGATATCACTCATCCTGACACGTGGGGTTACTTTTCCTTAAAAAAATATATCATGTAGAGAATATACATTGAATCAGTGATATAGAACATTTATTTTCACTAGTGACAGGGTCACTTAAGCACTTACATAGAAAAAGTTATGAGTAATCATGAAGGTTATTTAAATGCAAAAAGAAATCTGATAAAACCTGCATTATTAGTTGGTATTCAACAGTGAAGTGAGGTTTTTAGCAATTACATTGGCTTAATGAGGAACATGACCGTGAAAAAAATCTTTAAGTTCAAAGAATCATGAAATGCCTAAAAACTAAATAATCAGTAAAAAATACATACTTTCATTTTAAGGTCCCCAAAGGAATGTTCAGTTATCTTGGAAGCCATGATGCTTATCACACAAGCACAAGAATTATGAATCAGGAACAGTGAAGTTCCGATTCTGACTTATCCATTGAATCTTCATGACCTGGAGCAAGTCACTTAAATTCTTCAGATTTTGTCCAAAAAAAAAAAATTGGCATAAAAATAAAGGCATGTGTCAAAAAAAATTTTTTTTCTAAACAGTACTAGAGTAAAGCTAAAGATGGTTACTAAGGCTCACAATTTCAACAACTCATTGTACAGTACAATCATTTTTGATCCTGCTAATTATGGCTAGAGGCAGCATGGGCAATGACAGTTCTCAGGGAATTCAAAGGCTTTAGAGAAGTTAATGGTTTCAACTTTCAAAACTACAAAATCTTCTTCGTGAGTTGTTTAAAACAGCTAATCATCTATGGGTTTGACTCTCTCCACCTCTCTATGTGCTGGTAGAGCAAGTGAAAGTAATGACAGAGACATGGTTTCATGGAGAAAAGCATCCATAGAATGAAATGAGGTATAAGCTGATTTAATAAACCCCAATCCATAACTTACAGTTATTTTAAAGAAGCTGCATAGTTCAGCAAAAATATATCATAGAAGAGGGATAAAGAAAAAAATTCTTAATGGAACTTTAAAAGGTGTGACAACTAAGCATTTAAAATGACCAACACCAGAAAACTTGAGGTTGGAAAGGAGTGGTCTTCCTTCACGCTAAGCACACATAAAAACAGAAACCAGAAGGCTAAAGTCCACAAGAGAAAATATTGTATGTTATTTGGTTTCAGTTATCAACTTCAGACACTGCTTTTTAAAAGATAGTCATATTAAACAGATAATAAACTCTAGTTAATGATACCTATGCTGAAGTATTTAAGGGAAATGTATTGTCTGAAATTCACACTGAAATATATATTTTTTAAAACTCCATGGATGGATGGATAGAGGGATGGACATATATGTGGTAATACAAGCCTAGTAAAGTGTTGATGTTAGAATTTGCTGGTGGATATATTGTAAAAAAAAATTTGACTCCAATGTATGTTTAAAATTTTTCATAATAAAATGTTGAGGGAAATGTTACTATTTCTACAATAAAATTAATTTAGCAGTGTGTTTTAAAGACTCAGACAATTTAGAATTGTAAATTAACTGAAGTGGGAATTTTTGCTTAAGGCCTCAAACCCAATTTCTGAAGATCTTTCTTTAACATCGAGATGAACTAACACAGTAAGTATTGTGGAAAAGACAGTCTCTTCTTCACACACCTCATTTGCAAGTAAATAATTCTCTCCTCCCTACAGAATAGACAAGTTTTGAAAAGACCACTGGAATAAAATTTTTCCAAATATCAATGTCAAGCCCTTCCCAATCCACCATACTACTATTCACTAAATATAAAGGCAACACAGATCAAGGTGAAAAATAATCTATGACTACTGTCAGCCTGGGACAACTGGATTTATTTTCAGGGTGTATGGTTCCTGATCAATAATGTTAACAGTTTTACTCAGTTTCAAATTGAAATCGCATTAGGCCAAAAAAAAAAAAAAAAATGCAGAATGCAGAATTTACACAGACCTTTGCTATTCCAAGCCTCTGTTTTATGAATTCTGATTAATGGCAATAATTCTATCATCTCTTCTCTCTGTGAAATGCTAAAACCTGCTAAAGGCACTCATATTCTGGGCTTAATGGGGACAGGGTCACATGGGACCATAAGCCAGTATTTTTTTTTTTTGGTAGCTACCCAGAAAGGGAATTTACAAATGATCCTCCCATTCATAATGGGAAGAAAAAGTCAAACAGCTATCAGCAGAAACATCATATGAGAAGCTATTTACACAGCTATTTGTCCATTCAGCTAGACAGCTAGTAACAGCTTCCGATGAGAGAGGTCTACAGCCAAGAAAAACCCCCAAAAAACAAAAGCAACAACAAAACACTATTATTATGTACGAAACTCCTGAACAGTAATTTGGCTGGTTAAAAAAAAAAATAGTTGGTAAGGTGGAATATTTCTTAAGCATTTGTTCAAAAGCCTGCACTAAACTTTTGCCTATATTGACAAAATATTTCTATTTCTAAAGTTCTATTGTCTTATATATGCCTCATCAAGTTCTTTAGAGAGCACTTTCAGCCTACATTCCAATAACAGGGACACAAAACAGGTTTCACACCATCCCTAGGCCTCTCTGTAGAGGATACCATGCCCAACAGTTAAGTCTCCCCTGACACAAGCAAGACTCATTTTACACAGGTCACTGGACAGTCCTCAAACTGTCGTTGCTCACAGTCCCAGCCAACTCAGGAGTGAAGGAGTCATAATTCCCACCACTAATCCTTAGAATATATCTACAGAGGAAGATTTAAGCAAATATGTTTGCTCAAACATATTTCTCCCATTCCCCTCACTGAAAGTGTAGACAGTAGCTATAAGCAAGATATCAGTTCTGTAAAATAAGGTGGAAGGAAAATCTCATGCTTCCCCTCAGCTGTGTAAGTCAGAGGAACATAAGAATGGTCTCAGACAGCCATGATTCTTCATTCAATCTTAGAGTTTCAAAAAATCCTAAATGGTTTTCTAAGACTCATTAGGAGGGGAAATAATGAGGAAGAGTTGGAGAAGGAACTTCTTCTAAATGAACAGTATAAAATATTATGCATCTTGCAGAATTCAGTGCAATAAGAGACAAGCAGACAAATGTAATAAAAAACATGCACATATTTACAAGTTGTAGTACATGATATACAAAGACAAGACCAACAAAGTATTTTCTGTTCAGTGTGGAGCCAAAAGGATTTACATGGTACACTCCGTTTTGTAGCTTAACTTGTTGAAAAAAACACTTCAAACGCTGCATAGGCAGTCCAATCTTTTAATTGGAACATGGAATTTTTCCTTTACAACTTCTTGGCCCTCAGTATCTTAAGAAGAGTTTCTAATTGTTATCTTCTAACATGGACTTCAAATGACAACTTACACAGAGATATTCACAGAGAAAAGAGACTTGGATGCTATGAGTTCTTCTTGCGGATGATTACTAAAATCTATTGACTTGACTAAAGGTCTTCCATTGTTTAGGCCTCTGTCCGTCCTTGTATACAGCATATAAAAAGATACTAACGTGACTCCTGGGCAGCACAGGGTGCGGATTCTAGAGCACATTACAAAGCAGGACTGGACTGCACAAAAGGAAACCAACGGAGATCACGTATCACTGACTATGGTAGTAACAATGGCCTTCTTCAACAGGGAAAAAACACTGTCTAATAGGAATGCATGAAGGTGAGAAACTGTACCATGCAGACATGTATTTATTTAGGTATTTCCTTTCTGACCACCTCTGTCACCTTTGTATCACCTATGGAGTGCAGGAGAATACTGCAAGGTAACAAGCTCAAAATAACCCACTGTCATAGAGATTTGCGATTTTTGGGGGGGGGGGGATGTGTATGTAACCTCTATAAATGATCATGGAAGTTATCAACTTCCTACAGTTTGGAAATTAAGGAACAAACCGAGTTATTGTAGGCAATATGGTATCTAAAGTGTCATATAAAACAAACACAGCTCTTTTTTAGTGCAAAGAAATAGAGCAAGTAAGAAATAACACTATAAATCTAACTTTTTTCTTTAAAGAAAATGCATTTATGCATTCATAACATCCATTAAGGGCACTGGGAGACTGGAAACCTGAATATGCAAGGCCAGGAAAAATATCAAGGCCTTTAAGTCCACTGCTTTTTGTATATATGTAACAAAATTGTTAAGTGGGAAGAGTGGGGGAAATCCTTCAATTTTGTTTGCAAAGGAAAAACTGAAAGTGGAAAAATGCCACTTTTACAAACTGTAAATTCTTATCCACGATCTTTTACTATTACCTGAAATAAGGATCCAGTGAAATCTTCTCTATGGTATCACATAAATATATATGTATGTGTGTATATATGTAAGTACATATATATACATACATATACGTGTATATATATACACACACACACACACACACAGACTACAGAGAAAGGGGAAAAATAAGATTTTTAAATAATTATAGAACTAAGTGGCCAGCACTGTAATATTAAATTCTACCCACAAATTATACTTAGCAGCAAAATGAGTAACCTACTGACCAATAAAATAAGTTCTAAATTGCCCTAAATTAATCGATTGTATAAAAGGATTATTATACTCAGAGACACAGTTCTAGATAGAATCTCAATAATGTTACTTCATTCTCCTGTTTCTGGGAGGGAAAAAAAAAATGTAGGTTCTTTTTTTCAAAAAACCACCACTTCAACAGAAGAGCAACTTGATATTTTACCAGTGGTTATCCCAAAACTGAATTTTAAATATGGATCTAGGTTGCTCAAAAACTGCTCATAAAGATTAAAGGAAAGGAATGATGATTATAATTTTCTTCTCCCCATCTCTTTGCCTATAGAATTCTCAAAGAATAATAGGGGTTTCATTTTTTAATTAGTAATAAAAGCAATCAAATGTGAGTTGACCATAGTGCAAAGATACTGCAAACTTCCTGGTGGATGTGGCCTTTCAAAAAAAGTATGGATGAGCACCAGTCTTATCCATGTAAATATAGTAAGTAGATAAAATACAACTAATGAAAGTTCATAGGGTACTCCATTCGTTTATCTAGCCATACACTAGAGCTTATTTTTTAAAAAAAATAATAATAATAATACTGTTATAATTATCAGATACCAAAGTAATCCATAACGTATTTCTATGACCTTTAAGGAAGCTGAATTATAAAGAAGGAAACCAAAGTTCATGTATTTTACTACTGGAAATGATGATACTAAAATCTGGTTAACTTTTTTTTTTTTTTTAACTCCTCTCTATCTATGAAACAGGAAGGGGGTAGTATTTTTCAGGGCAACCAACCAACTGGCAAGACAGGAAAGAATGTAAATAAACCCTAAGGATCAGTTCATTGAAAAAGTCTGACAAAACAAATATCAAGAGATCTGAACTTAAAATCGAGACCATCATATAAGTACGTTATTATCAATGAATAACTCTAAATTGAAAAATCAAACACATCTTTACATTTCCCAAAACCACCTGAAAAATATTTTTTAAAAAAATAGCATATCTATCTTAAACACATTGGATATTGGAACAGGGGGCTTGGAAAGCTCACAACATAGCTGGGGCATGAAAATGAGCCTATTAAACAAGCTAATTCAACTGGGGCAGGGTGGGGGAAGGGGGGAGGAAGGAAGAAGCCCGCATTTAAATGTGTGAAATCCACAAGTGAAAATGAAATTTCACCATTTGGAAGTCTACAAGCACATTGGAAGTGTATGAATCCAAGAAAATCTGCATTTCAATCAATAATGGGAAGACAAGGGGAAAACACGTACTGGGAAAGACCCTAATGCTGCTTATAATCATATATCCTACTGGCAAGGCATTGCGTTGAGGTGGTTCCAAAGAAAACCTGGGAAACCAAAATCTCTGCTTACCAGTTTTTACCGTTATCTGAAGTAAGGAGTCAATAAAATTCTTTACTTAACAGTACATAAAACTAAAACTGCAAAAGAAGGGGAAGTTTTTAAATAGTTAAAGCTCTAAGTGATCAGGCTACTAGTTGACCAGAACTTGGTCAAGATAAAAAGTTATTTCTCGTGGGGTAGGTGGGTCACATGCTCTAAGTAACTCAACACAACTGACCTGAAAACGCATCATGACCTAAGAAGCACATTCTTTTCCTTCCCCAGTCTTGACATCTCATGGTACCACTGGTTACACGTATTAACATTAAGCAGAGGAATGGACTCAGATCAAAAGGACCACAAAAGCAGGGCATATTGACAGAAGGCAAACAACAGGCAGGAAAAGCTGCTCTATCTGAATACAACGACCACTATACATATCCTAGATTCTCCATCTCGTTTCTGTACCGCTGTTCAGACACCTTGCTTTTATGTTGCTTGCTCTCTAAATGCTGCCGGAACTCCATCTCTTCACCAGCCCCAACATTACACATGGAGCAGTAAAACTGGCCGCTGGGAGTAACACACATGGCCAGATCACGCGGGATTCTCTGCCGAGAGCGGGGATTGAAGTAAGGACCTGCTAAAGCAAGAGATAAAAATGATGTATCCACTTCAAAACATTCACTAAACAAATGACGACAGTCTGATTATCACTGTAATTTGCCATGCTGAGCTCAGATTATAAAATTCACGGACTCTCAGCTTTAAATGAATGCAAAATTAATAGATTTTTTTAAATTACAATTTTAGGGCACCTGGGTGGCTCAGTTGGTTGGGCGACTGCCTTCGGCTCCGGTCGTGATCCTGGAGTCCCTGGATCGAGTCCCGCATCGAGCTCCCTGCTCGGCGGGGATTCTGCTTCTCCCTCTGACCCTCCCGACCCTCCCCCCTCTCATGTGCTCTCTCTCTTAGTCTCTCTCTCTCAAATAAATAGATAAATAAAATCTTTAAAATAAAATAAAATAAATTACAATTTTATACAGGTTCCATCTAAGAAGTGAAAATGATTCCTCCAACTACTGTCAGAAAGGTTACTGTAGAACCAAACCCCAACCCCAGCTCCAAATGACAATGTCTCTAAAGAGTAAATAAAATTTTAAAAATTGTTTAACTTCTAGACATTATATGAAAAGTTTTATAATTATGCTAACTCTTTAATCCAAAAATTCTACTTCTAAGAATTATCCTAAGAAAATACCAAGAATTTTTGCATGGAGATTTATCAACAAGGACATTATTTCATCAGTGTGCATACAAGTTTTTATGGGAAGATGTGGGAAAGGGAGAGATCAAATACATGATTTGAAAAATTATGGTAATGAATGCAACGGAAAACCATGCAGTCACTGTAAGTAATGAAAACTCTTTGATTTTCTTTGATTACATGAAAATGTGATTATGCTATTAAGTGAAACAAGAATATCACAAAATATAATCACATTTCTACTTCAAAGAAGTAATATACAGAGAGATGGGAATGACATATACAAAAATGCTGGTGGAATTATTGGTAATTTTTTTTCTTTTTACATAACTGACTTCTTTTTAACTATGTTAAACTGAATTTACTGGCCTGTTGCATTAAAAAAAAAAAAAAAAAAGCTAATCTATAATTACCTGAATAAATTCTCCTTCAGCATTGAAAATACTCAATGTGACTTATTTGTAGGTAAACCAAATTAAAACTAATGTATTTTAGGTTTGGGGGGTTTTGTTTGTTTGTTTTTATTGAAGTATAGCTGACACACACTGTTACATTAGTTTCAGGTGAACAACATAGTGATTCAACAACTCTATACATTATGCATGTTCACACAGTATAGCCCATCCGTCACCATACAACACTATTACAGTACCACTGACTATTTTCCCTATGCTGTATCTTTACCCCTGACTTATTCACTCAATAACTGGAAGCCTGTATCTCCCACTCCCCTTCACTGTTTTGCCAAAGCTACCCTCCCCTCCCCTGGCAACCATTTGTTCTCTGTATTTACTTAGCATAATACCCTCTAGGTCCATCCATGTTGTTGCAAATAGCAAGATCTCATCCATTGTTATGACTCTGTGTGTGTGTGTGTGTGTGTGTACACACCACATCTTTATCCATTCATCTATCAAGGGATACTTGGATTGCTTCCATATCTTGGCTATTGTAAATAACACTGCAATGAACACAGGAGTGCATGTATCTTTTCAAAACAGTGTTTTTGTTTTCTTTGGGTAAATACCCAGTTATATAACTGAATTCTTAAGTTGGACCATTGCTTATTAATTCTCTGCTTTCTTTTCTACTATAATAAATATTTAAGACTTTTCTCAAAATATTACTTTCATTGTATCCTACAAAGTTTAATATATTTTTATTACTGTTTGACTTTAAGAATTTTAAATTTCCGGGTGCCTGGGTGGCTCAGTCAGTTAACCATCTGCCTTCAGTTCAGGTCATGATCCCAAGGTCCTGGGATCAAGTCCCGCATAGCCTCAGGCTCTCTGCTTAGCTAGGAGTCTGCTTCTCCCTCTTCCTCTGACCTCCCCCCTGTTCATGCACAAGTGCTCTCTCTCTCTCTCTCAAATAAATAAATAAAATCTTTTAAAAAAAGAATTTTTAATTTCCAGTATGATTTCTTCTTTGATCCAGGAGTTATTTAGAAGTGTTTTAAAATTTCCAAACAAATGGAAATTTTGTAGGGTTTTTTTAAATATATTTTTTGTTGTTGACCTCTCATTTAATTGTACTCCAGCCAGAAAATGTAGTCTAAACTGCCCTCTGTCCTGAAGTTTATTTTATCTAATATTAACACAGCTGTCTCAGCTTCCTTCATCTAGCTAATTTTTTTATTTTTTTATTTTTTTGTTTTTTAAATTTTTTAATTTAAATTCAATTAATTAACATATAGAGTATTATTAGTTTTAGAGGTAGAGTTCAGTGATTCATCAGTCTTATGTAACACCCAGTGTTCATTACATCTAAGTGGAACCTTTTTTTTAAAGATTTTATTTATTCATTTGTCAGAGAGAGAAAGAGAGAGCACAAGCAGGGGGAGCAGCAGAGGGAGAAGGAGAAGCAGGCTTCCCGCTGAGCAAGGAGCCTGATGTGGGACTCGATCCCAGAACCCTGGATCATGACCTGAGCCAAAGGCAGAAGCTTAACCAACTGAGCCACCCAGGCATCCCTCAGCTGAATTTTTTAATCCAATCTTATAATCTTTGTCTTTTAACTGGGACTTCAATAAATTTACACTTATTATAAGCACTGATACATGTTTCAACTTTTATCAATCATATTACATTATGCTTTCTATAAGTCCCTTTTTCTATGTTTCTCTTGCCTTTCCAATTAACTTTTTTGTTTTTCATTTGACTTACTGTTCACATGAGTTACCCCTGCTGGTGTATGTGTGTGTTGGAGGCTGTGGCAGGGGGAGGATGAAGGACTATTCAGTTCAACTCTCCCTACTGGAGATAATCAGAAAATGCAGAAAACATTCCTATACCGCAGCAGTTCTGAACTGAAGGTGTATATCAGAATCACTGAGCAAGCATTTTCAAAACACACATATGCCTGGGTCCCACTCCGAATTTACTGACTGAAAATCTCTAAGTCATGGTTCAGGCATGTGTATTTTGTAAAAACTCCCCCAGTAATTCTGATTCACTACCTCAGTTTAAAGCCACTGCTCAATCTTTTTATTTTCCCCAACAAATGGAGACTTAACATGGTGCAACTTTAAACCAAATAGCCCATTTTTATAATGAATTTTACATTTCTCGGCCGGCAAACATCAGAAGCAGTATAAAGGGACTATGATCAAAGACCTTAAAACATAAACTATGATTTAAAATCAAAACAAATAATATACTAAACCGAAAATAAATAAATAAATAAATAAATAAATAATAAGACCTGAAATAAACACCAGCTTGAAAAGCCACTAGACAAATGGAACAAAACAATTAGCTAACCCCAAATTCTCAGGGCTATCTATTACCGTTAAAGGAAATAAAAATAAAGAAGACCATTTGCAGAATGTAGCCAAGGTACATGGAAATCCACAGGATACCTGAATTATTCTGTACTGTATACATATTCCTCCTATTAGGCATCATCTTATACTCATTCCCTTCTTTCCGGGTCCGCCGCTGACCGGCCTCTGAGGATTCCCTGGAGAAAAGAGATTTTAAAAGTGTGAGACTTCTAAACAAGGATCCCTTTGGACTCTTCTTCTCTAAAGACGGTCAGTCTTACACAGCACTTTGGCCTGAGAGAAAATGGCAATACCTACGAGAATGAGTTACTCTGAGCTTCCGCCAGCCGCAGCCTCTTGGCGTGATTCTTCCCTTGATAGTGAGCCTGAGCCACAGCCGGAGAACTAAAGGAGGCATCACAGAGCTTACAGTAATCGTTCTCTGTGGCCAGGATCACTCTGCCTCCCGGCTTAAAGGAGCCCATCTGACATCAAAGACACAAGAGACAAAGTTAAAAAAATGTGGAGCTTATGCCCTCCTTGCCCTCAAAATTCCTTCTAAGAGTTGAAAGATAACCAAAGGTGACAGTATGACCACAAGCACTCAGCTTTATAAGGAGAGGATGTTATTCATTCCAGAAAAAAAACAACAAAGAGAAAAAGAAAAAAAGGCTGGGAGACAATCATGGTTTTGTATTACAATCACCTTTGTACCAAACCGGTTAATGGCTTGTTGCTATCTCCATGGAGAAATATTTTTAAAAGAAGCATAGAAGATTCAGGGCAGTAGAGGGAAAGCCTAAAATCACATTACCAGAAAGGCAAAGTCCTTCTAGAATCCATCAACAAGAATTTAATGAATGCCTACTGTTTATAGGGCTTGCTACCTAATGCAGAAGGGATATGTAGACATATATTTACAAATGAGCCTCTGTCCCCCAAAAAGTCTACAAAATAGCTGTGGATATAATATAACTAGGGAAAAATAACCAGCAGATTCAGGCAACTGTATCCAGGCTGAGAAACGAGTTCAGAGAAACCTAACACAGGCCTGGAAGATAGTATATACTCAATAAATATTGATGGGCTAACAAAAAAAGACAAACTAGATTTTGGCTAGAGGAGAATAAAATACATAATAAAGAGTCTGAAAGCATATCCTAGCAGGACCAGCTGAAGGAAACAGCACTGTTTCACCAGGATGGGAAGACTTCCTGGGGGACAGAAAAGCAGTCTCCAAAAAACCACAAAGGGCTATGCTAGGAAAGGCTATTTGCTCGGGGAGGGGGTTGGGGAAAACAGTTGGGAGCGGCTGTCCTGTCCAGAGCAGGAATCGGGGCCCTGAAAACGGCTCAGCCTGAAGATCTGTCTGGGTATTTTCCTGTTCTCCGATTCTGTTTTTATCCTCTCTCATTTACCCCACAAATTCGTGAGGATGGAGGAACAGCTGGTATTGCCATCCACATTTTAAAGACTGGAAAACTGATGTTCGGAAAAGTAAACTTACACCCTGGTGGTTAGGAGGAGAGGTGCAAGGTCAAAGAAATTCTTCCACTATTTCACAAAATGCATAACACCATGGACAAGTTTCTTAGCTTCTCTGAGTTTCTAATAAACTTCCAGGTGAGACAAATGCTGCTGGCCCATGAATTACACTCCAAGTAATAAGGCCAGTACTTCTAAGCTCTTGGAAGCATGAAATGAAGTTTAGGGCCCAGGACTAGAAGGAGGCAAGGCAAGCATTAACCATGGGCATGAAATTTAAGAGTGCATCAAAAATCTCAGCAATCAAGATAAATAATATGTTAATGGACCATTTATACAAATCAAACCTAACACAAGAAATCATTGTAAACAAAATATCAAGATTTTAAATAAAGACAGGATCAGTCACAGTGCCATCCCAAGCCATACTGCCGCCTGAAGCAAAAGGAAAATCAGTAATACTTACCCCAGCTTTAAGTTTTTGACATTTTGTTTACCACTGATTTTTTCATATTAATTTGATTTTTAAAATATTACATTAAAATATTTATCTTCATTACTGAGTGTTTTGGCTCCCTCTTAAATTTTGTGCCTCAGTCAAGTGCATCCTTCACCTCACCTTAGTCCCAGCCCTATATGAAGCAATGTATGAAAAGCGCTTAGCAGAGTGCTCAGCATAGTAAGTACTCAATTAGAGTTATTATTATTTATGACCACATATTGTTCTATGGACAAAGATTAAGGAATACAATCCATATTTCAGAGGCTATTAAAGTACAGCATTATCTTGCCTAAAAACGTACTTTATCTACCAAACAGTGAAAGGAACTTGGATCTCAAGTGTGTGTCATTATACTGAAGTCCAGAAAAAGTTTATGCAGTCTCTCTCCGTAGAGGTAAGAAAGGGGCAATCTCAAAAAACTGACCTTGCTGGAAGGCAAATATAAACTAAATGGGATTAACTACAACAAAGAAATAAATGTTGAAAAACCGCTCTTTTCATTCAGGGCATAGCCTAGACATTCAGGGTCTTTTAACCCAGAATTCTGAGACATGCCAAGAAAAAGACACACTTAACAATATTTCTTCCTTCATTTCATGCATCACAACCAAAGCCAATGAGAAATCTCAAGGTCACGGATGTTGGCATGCTTTAAACCTGGCACTACAGTTTGAGGCGTTAAAAGTGCCAAGTAGAACCCTGCAGGAGTATCTGCCCAACTGTACCTTGATGGGCTCCTTGGATGACAAACTTCATCCATGAACATGTGTGCAGAGGACAACTCCCACCCTGATACATGTGTCTCACCTGCGGGGGGACAGGAACAGCTGGAGTAGGCACAGGTTCTACCACATTGCTCATTCTGGCAGGAGGAGGACAGCTGTTAGCTGCATAGTAATTTCGGAGTTTCTTACCATGATTTTTACCCTAGAAGTAAAATGAAATGAGTAATCAACATGAAAAAAATGTGCCGCGCGCCTGGGTGGTTCAGTCGTTAAGCGTCTGCCTTCAGCTCAGGTCATGATCCCAGGGTTCTGGGATCCAGCCCCCCACATCGGGCTCCCTGCTCAGTGGGGAGCCTGCTTCTCCCTCTGCCTGCCCTTCCCCCATGCTTGTACTCTCTCTCTCTCTCTGACAAATAAATAAAATCTTTTTAAAAAAAGTGTCAACTCAAGTTCACGTATTCATTTAAGAAAAATAGAAAAAATGGAGGAAAAAAGCCCAAGCAATATTAACTACATTTTATTCTTGGGACGCCTGGGTGGCTCAGTCGGTTAAGCGTCTGCCTTCGGCTCAGGTCATGATCCCGGGGTCCTGGGATCGAGTCCCGCATCAGGCTCCCTGCTCTGCGGGGAGCCTGCTTCTCCCTCTGCCTCTGTCTCTTATCATGCTCTCTGTCTCTCTCTCTGTCTCTCATGAATAAATAAATAAAATCTTTAAAAAAAAAAAAAAAAACTACATTTTATTCTTGCAGATATACGCAACACTGGGGCAAAGAGCCCACTAGATCTTAAAGTAAAAGAGTCTACACTTTGGTTCTAACAGAATGATTTATCTGGGAAAGATAAGAGAACAAAGCCAAAAGAAGTTAATTTCCTATATATTTCTGGAAAAGTATCACACTTTCCAGTGATCTACTTCCTCCCCCAACTTGTTGCCATTCATATGCCACTGCCTAAATACGAATTTTATTACACTATGATCTAATCTATTTTATAAGTCAGTAATGAAATGGATAATCCAATTATTTTTACAAAAATAGCACTTACAGAGTATCTTTTTACTTGCAAAGGGCTCTCGTGTGCATTAGCTCATTTGCTGCTCACAAAAAAATTCCTGTAAGAGGAAGTTGTTAATATTATCCACATATGACAGCTGAGGAGCTGCAATCCACAGAGTGTGGAGGACTTGCCCTGGCACCTTCCTTCAGCTGGGCTAGGTAATGGAGCCAGAGACTCAGGCAGACCCTCTGAATCCAAAGCAAGACCCTTTGGTGCTACTTCAGGATGGCTTCAGGAGGCACTGTGAACCTCTATTAAAATGCACTTGCCTCTCTCAGCACGTTTTGTTTAAGTAGTTATTCACATTATTATATTCCTTGAACTGACAGAAACTTGCGGGAAGGGGCAGTGGTCTGAAAGCATTCTAAATGAGGGTGAAACAATATGTTACTCTTCAGACTGCACTGTAAACTTCAAACCTGTATGCAAACTTTCTTCCACCATCTAGTATATGCTAAGCAATGAAATAAAAAGGACTAGCACACGCTCAAGAGGAGAAGACAGATATGTAAGCAGTTAATTAAAGTAAGGAGATGAGTTCTATCTTCTGATCACTGGAATGCCCTACAGGTGCTCTTGCCATGGTCGCGGTGACCTCCAGGGAGTCAAATCCAGGGGTCACATCTGTGGCTTCACTGTGTTCTAACTCTAGGCAGCACAACACCATGGATACTCCCTTCTATTGTCTCCTAGGATGCCCTCTTACCCCACCACTTCTCATTCTCTCACCCTGCAACATCCAAAGCTCCACCCTTGGCTCTCTTCTCCATCTACACTATTTTCCCCTGTCTTATAGCATGAAAATATAATTGACAAATTAGTAGCTCTCAAATTATCTATCTCCACCTCTGTTACGGACTGAATGACTGTGTTGCACCAAAATTCCTATGTGGACATCTAATCCCAATGTTATGGTATCTGGACATGGGGCCTTTGGGAGGGGATTAGGTCATGAGGGTAATCAGTGCCCTTCTAAAAAGAAGCCCAAGAGCTCCCTCTCCCTCATTCTGCCATGTGAGGATCCAAGGAGAAGTAGGCTGTCTACAGTGTGGAAGAGGACCTTACTGGAAGCCAACCATGCTATTATTCTGATCTCAGACTTTAGAGATCAGAATATATACTGTGAGACATAAAACTCATTCTAGCTCCAGGCCCTTTGTACTTGCTGTTCCTTTTGCCTAGAAGCTTCTTCTCTCAGATCTCTGCTTGGCTGGCTCCTTCTTACCTTTCAGATCTTAACTCAAATGGCATCTCTCTGAATCTGAAGTGTCCCGCCATTCTCTCCTACTCTACACAACACGCTCTCTATCACACAGTCTGGTTGATCCTACTGCAACTTAGAACAATCTAAAATATTGTTTGTTTACTTGTTTGTTTCTCTTTTGTACTCTCTGGAATGTAGACTCCTTGAAAATAAGGACCTGTCTTGTTTACTCTTCTATCCCCGATATCTAGAATACTTTCTAGCATACAGTGGGCCATCAGTAAGATTTGTTGAGTAAATGAACCAAGTATTATAATGGAGATAATGAATAAACTGCCAGGAAAAAAGAGAGAAGGAATTTCTTACTTCTGCCTAAATGTGTCAGAGAAGGCTTCCCTGAAAAGGAGAAAATCAAGTCATATTTTAAAATGAGCAAAAGTTTACCAGGCAGGTAAGGAGTAAGGGGAAAGAATATTGTGAACAGAGAAAATACTATGATCAAAAGTCCAGCCTGCTATGGTGAGAAGCCACAAGGAGAGATGGTCTTCTGGATCCTTTGGAGAAGAGTAGGAGTCGAGATACTAAGGGAGCTTAATGGTGAAACAGAAGGGAGCCTCTGAAGGACTTTAAGCAAAGTAGTTATATGATTGGATTGCATTTGATAAAAATCAACCTGGCATTAGCATGGGGGATAAATGAGGGTAGATCAAGCTAGAGCTGGGTAGACAGAAGACAGCTAAGGACAAAGCCCCAGGACAGTATAATATAGAGAATGAGGATCCAGAAAATGAGATTGAGAATGTCTGGCCTATCAAATAAATGAAAACCAGACAAGTGGGGGGTATGATGGAAGCCTAGAATAAGGTGTTTCAAAAGAAGAATCTAGTTAGATACATTATGACCCAGGAACTATACTTCTAGGTATCACCAAACAGAAACTCACATACAAGGAGGTATCTATAAGAATGCTCCTAGAAGGACTAGTACTTACACTGAAAAGTAAAAATAATTGAAGTGTCAAGGCACCTGGGTAGCTCAGTCCGTTAAGCGTCCAACTCTTGATTTCGGCCCAGGTCATGATCTCAGGGTCATGGGATCAAGTCCTGCATCAGGCTCAATGCTCAGTAGGGAGTCTACTTCTCTCTCTCTCTCTCTTTCTCCCTCTCCCTCTGCCCCTCCCCCTCAAACTCTGTCTCTAAAATAAACAAATAAATCTTTAAAAAAAAAAAAAATAACTGAAGTATCCACTATAGGATAACGCATAAATTATAGTCTATTCATACAATGGAACACTATACAGTAGTGAAAATAAACATTCCAGGGCCAGGCATGGCAACATTAATGATTCTCCTAACAGAATGCTAAATGAAAAGAACAAGTTGCAAAAAAAGATATGTGAGAATAATTTTTTTAATATGGGACTTAAAAACATGAAAACCACCACATATTACATAAGAAAACACATATGGAGCAAAAGTGCAAAAGAAGTAGCGGAACAATAAATATCAATTCAGTATAGTAGCTACATCTAGGAGTACAGGAAAGGATACAATTGGGAAGGGATGCTTGGGGGCTTCAGTTGAATGAACAGTTTTCACTCTTTCAGCTAGATGGCAATATATATGTTCATTATATTATTTTTGTACTTTTTTATGTCTGAAGTATTTCATAATAATTTAAAACAACACTAACAAAAAAAAAGGAGTTGTTCACCAGGTCGAATGCTACTGAGGGGTTAGTAACATCAGGACAGAGAAGTAATGCTTGGATTTAAAATGAGAGGTCAAGAATAACTTAGAACCATTAGAGTATTAGGGATTAAAAAGTCACACAGAATGGCTTGGGGAGACAATGGGAGATGTGAAAGTAGAAAGAACAGGTATAGGCAACTATTTACTTATTTATTTATTTATTTGTTTTTTAGAAGAGTTCTGTGACAGGGAGCAGAGAGATAGGGTTGAGAGTTAGAAGGGGGAAATGGGTAAATGGAAGATTGGTCTTAAAGATGGGTTTTACTTAGGCTCATTTGCATGACAACAGAAGAAGTCAGTAGGAACCAAAGAACAGATGGTGCAGGCACTAAAGCAAGTCCGTGAAAAGGCAGAAGATCAGGTACACAGTACTGCAGGAAGGGTCAACTTTAGATAGTATCAAGTATTTTATTTCCAAAGCAGTATTCACAGTTTTCAAGCCAATATTACATCTATAACATAATGATAATAATGGCAACTAACAATCTTTGAGCACTTATATGACAGGCAGTGTTCTAAATACTTCGTAAATACTATCTCGTGCAATCTTCATGAAATCTCTATCAGGTAGGTAAAATTATTATCCCCACTTTACATATGAGGAAACTAAACTCGGAGAGTTAAAAACTCGCCCAAGAGTTTCCAGCAAGCTCAGCAGCAGGTGCCTGGGTTTGTGTGTCCCCATCTGCCCTCTACAAACAATGCAGGATAGTAAGAAAAACAAATAAAATACAGAGAAGCCATGCCCTCCACAGAACCAGAAGCCACAGAATGCCCAGACTTCAAAATAATTGTAAGTAAAAAAGGGAAAAACATCAAATCCCAGTGAGCAATCGCTTATGCTCCTGCCACAAACATTCACAGCAAGCGAGAGCAGTCTGACCAAAACTTCAGGAAAGAGAGAAGGGAGCTAGCAGCAGGCCTAGAATTGCTTTCAAGCCACCACCAGGAAAAATAAACCTACCTGTCTGTAAATACTAAACCATGATCTGGTGGAGCAGAGCACTGACTGCTGGACAGGGGCTTAAATGTACACATGACCTAAAGTGGCAAAGTGGCTTCTGGAGGAGAAAGAGAAAAAAAGAAGGAAGACGCCCCTTTTGGCAACTGGGAGGTGAAGGGGGGTAAAAAGCAAAACAGGAAAAGCTAGCATCCTACAAAACAAAAAAGAGCAAAAAAACAAAAACAAAA